GCAATGCTCAAAAAAATGAGGAAGACTGGGGAGGGAAGCTAGAAGTGCTTGGACAGAGGATGGAGGAAATGATAGCTGCAGAGAGCAGAAAGTAGAAGCAACATGCCATAGTAGCAAAAGACAAGATACAGTGCTTAGAAGAGGAACTGAGAAATATGAAACAGCATAAAAAAAATAACAGTGCAAATATAACATCAGGAGCTTCTACATCAAACACAGACAAGGGGACTGGAGGGAGCAAGGAAGCTATACTGTATGCAAAGGTCCTGTCAGGCCTGCATGGGCCCAAGGCAAAGACAAGGAGCACACTAGGAACAAATGAAAGAGCGGAAGACATTGATGGAGCTAGGATATATGCAGGGACTCTACTAGACTCCTGCAGGAGCCAGGAACAGCTGAGCAGGAAAGACAGACCAATAAGCAATGGGGCCTCAGCTAGGGAAGGGATTGAAGGAAGGAACTCTCCAAGGGAAGGAACTAAAACACCTCAGAGGACGCAATGGGAGACACAGTGGGAGGAAGAAATGGAGATGTCAGTTTTTGTCTATGGGCTCCAAGAAGCTGAGGGGAAAGCTATGATGAAAAAAAAACAGGAGGAGATAAAATCGATTGAAGGTATCATGAAGGCAATAGGTGAGGGCGACATGACCCAGGTGGCAAATTTTTGGAGAATTAGGTGGTTTGCAAGGAAAAGGAAGTGGCCTCTCAAAGTAATTTTCAAGGCAGAATCATGATCCTGCAGGAGAAAGCATGGCTGAGAGACAAACTGGAATACCAGAGCGTGTACCTCGATTGAGACAGAACGCAAGAGGAAAGGAGGATACTGAAAGAGAGAGTGCAAAAACGAAAGGAGGAATGGGAGGAAATGACAAAGAAAAGCAGAATAACCCTGACACAGGTGGAAGGGCAAACACCCCCCTCCAGAAACACCCGCAGAAGGACTCCAACCAAGACAACCCCAAGGAACAATCTAAACCAACAATCACACACCGATCCCTCTGTCCCTACCCCCCACACAATGAACCCCACCCCGACAACAACCTCCTATGGGAACTCTGCCCCCACCCCCACTGCAAACCCCCATAGGCCCCTGCCAGGACTCCTACTCTCCCAACCCGAATATCCTCCCAGGACCACAATTTTAAAACAGAAGTTGAAGGATTGGTACACGAATGTGGATGGAATAACGAATAAATATGAGGAGTGGCATGAAAGAATCAATGAGAAGTCCCCAGACATCACAGCAGCCACAGAAACAAAACTCACTGACGCAATAACAGATGCAATCTTCCCACCAGGAAGATATGTTTCTTGAGGAAAGATAGGAGCATAGGGGGAGGAGGGGTTGCACTGGAAATTTGAGGAAATGGGAGACATGGACGAGATTGGAGAAAGAGAATATGTAGTAGGTATACTTCAGTCTGGGGAGCACAAGGCAGACATTGCAGTGATGTATAATCCACCACAGAACTGCAGGAGGCCAATAGAGGAATATGAAGAGAGCAACATAGCAATGGTGGACACACTGGCTGAGGTGGCAAGAGGAGCTCACTCGAGCAGAGCAAAGATACTAGGAGAGCAATTGGCGAAACCTGGAGCCACACGGGGGTTGTGAAACATGGAGAGCCAAGATGATGGATGGGGTACTGGAAAACCTCATGCATCAACATGTTAGGGAAACTACCAGAGAGAGAGAGAGAGAGAGGGGAGGATGAACCAGCAAGACTGGGCCTTGTGTTCACCCTGAGCAGTTCAGACATTGAGGACATCACATGTGAGAGGCCCCTAAAAGCTAGTGAACACATGGTTCTGTGCTTTGAATACATAGTAGAGTTACAAGTGGAGAGGGTAACAGCAGCTGAATGGGAAAAGCCAGACTATAAAAGGGGGGATTACATAGGTTTGAGGAACTTCCTGCAAGAGGTTCAGTGGGACACAGAACTGGTAGGAAAGTCGGTAAACGAAATGATGAAAAACGTAGCAACAAAATGCAAGGAGGCAGAGAAAAGGTGTGTTTCTAAGGGCAACAGAAATAATGGAAAGACCGGAATGAGCCCCTGGTTTACCTGACAGTGTAAGGTGGAAAAACTAAGTGCACTACAGAATGGAAAAATTACAGAAGGCAAAGAACACAGGAAAATAAGGAGATTAGTCGAAGAGCCAGGAACGAATATGCACAGGTAAGGAGGGAGGCCCAGTGACAGTATGAAAATAACATAGCATCGAAAGTCAAGTCTGACCCGAAACTGCTGTACAGCCACATTAGGAGGAAGACAACAGTCAAAGACCAGGTGATCAGGCTGAGGAAAGAGGGTGGGGAACTCACAAGAAACGATCATGCGGTATGTGAGGAGCTCAACATGATATTTAAGGAAGTATTTACAGTAAAGACAGTAAGGGATCTGAGAAAACAGCACAGAGGGGAACACTAAGAGTTAATATACCAACAGGTGCTGGATGAGGAGGTGCAGAAGTTGCTAAGTGACCTTGATATCTCAAAGGCGATGGGACTGGAAAACATCCCCCCATGGGTCCTTACAGAAGGAGCAGAGACTCTGTGCGTGCCACTAACCACAATCTTCAATACATTCCTTGAAACTGGGCAACTACCTGAGATATTCAAGAGGGCAAATGTAGACCCCATTTTTAAGAAAGGAGACAGAAACAAAGCACTAAACTTCAGACCAGTGTCTCTGACGTGTATAGTATGCAAGATCAGGGAGAAGATTTTCAGGAGGAGAATGGTGGAGCACCTGGAACGGAACAAGATTATAAACGACAACCAGCATGGATTTATGGAAGGCAAATCCTGTGCCACAAACCTTCTGAAGTCATATGACAAAGTAACAGAAGTAAGACACGAGAGAGATGGGTGGGTTGATTGCATTTTCCTGGAATGCAGGAAGGCCTTCGGCACAGTTCCTCACAAGAGATTAGTGCAGAAGCTGGAGGATCAGGTGCATATAACAGGAAGGGCACTGCAATGAATCAGAGAATACCTGACAGGGAGGCAACAAAGAGTCATGGTACGTGATGAGGTATCACAGTGGGCGTCTGTGATGAGCGGAGTCCCACAGGGGGACGGTCCTAGGACCTGTGCTATATCTGATATATGCGAATGACATGATGGAAGGAGTGTCCATGTTCGCAGATAATGTTAAGTTAATGAGAAGGATTAAATCGGTTGAGGATCAGGCAGCACTACAAAGAGACTTGGACAGGCTGGGCACGTGGTCCAGCAACTGGCTTCTCGAATTTAACCCCGCTAAATGCAAAGTCATGAAGATCGGGGAAGGGCACAGAAGACCGCAGACGGAGTATAGGCTAGGTGGCCAAAGACTGCAAACCTCGCTCAAGGAGAAAGATCTTGGGGTGAGTATAACACCGAAAATGTCTCCGGAAGCACACATCAACCACATAACTGCTGCAGCACATGGGCGCCTGGCAGACCTGAAAACAGCGTTCCGATACATTAGTAAGGAATCGTTCAAGACACTGTACACCATGTACGTCAGGCCCATACTGGAGTATGCAGCACCTGTTTGGAACCCCGCACTTGATCAAGCATGTCAAGAAATTAGAGAAAGTGCAAAGGTTTGCGACAAGGTAGTTTCCAGAGCTACGGGAATGTCCTATGAAGAAAAAGGGTTTGGGAAATCGGGCCCGACGACACTGGAGGACAGGGGGGTCAGGGAGGGCATGATAACGACATATAAAATACTGCGCGGTATAGACAAGGTGGACAAAGACAGGATGTTCCAGGGAGGGTACACAGAAACAAGAGGTCACAATTGGAAGTTGAAGACTCAGATGAGTCAAAGGGATGTTAGGAAGTATTTCTTCAGTCATAGAGTTGTCAGGCAGTGGAATAGCCTAGAAAGTGACGTAGTGGAGACGAGAACCATACATAGTTTTAAGACGAGGCTTGATGAAGCTCATGGGGCAGGGAGAGAGAGGACCCAGTAGCAACCAGTGAAGAGGCTCGACCCCTGCAACCACAAATAGGTGAGTACACACACACACACACACAAACATCCCAACACAAAATACACACACACACACACACACACACACACACACACACACACACACAACCAACACCACACACACCACACACACACACACACACACACATATGCACACACCCCCAAACGCAACATATACGCACATACACACACACCCACCCACCCACACACACACACACACACACACACACACAACACACACACACACACACACACACACACACACACACACACACACACACACACACACTGGACAGGCTGCAGACCTGGTCCAGAAATTGGCTCCTGGAATTTAACCCCACCAAGTGCAAAGTCATGAAGGTTGGGGATGGGCAAAGAAGAATGCAGACGGAGTACAGTCTAGGGGGCCAGAGACTACAAACCTCGCTCAAGGACATAGATCTTGGGGTGAGTATAACACCAGGCACTTCTACTGAAGCGCACATCAACAAAATAACTGCTGCAGCATATGGGCGCCTAGCAAACCTTAGAATAGCATTCCAACATCTTAATAAGGAATCGTTCAGGGCTCTGTACACCGTGTACATTAGGCACATAGGAGATTGACTGGGAGAACTTGCAGCCACATGGGGCCCAAGATACATGGAGGGCTAAGATGATGGAGGTGGTACTGGAAAACTTCATGTACCAACACGTAAGGGACACTACAAGAGAGAGAGGAGAGGATGAACCAGCAAGACTGGACTTAGTATTCACCTTGAGTAGTGAAGATACTGAGGACATCACATATGAAAGACCCCTTGGGGCCAGCGATCATGTGGTTTTGATCTTCGAATACACAGTAGATCTACAAGTGGAGGGGGACGCAGGAAGGCCTGGACAAATGAAACCAAACTACAGGAAAGGGGACTACACGGGAATGAGGAACTTCCTGAACGAGGTTCAGCGGGAGAAGAGAACAGCGGGGGCCTTTAATGAGATGATGGATATTAAAACAATGGAAAGGGAGGCTGG